ATAGGCAATAGAAAACATTCATTGCTGTCAACAGTTAGATTTGGATCAATAGCTACTAATTTCAGGTCATAAAGAATTGAGACCACTCTGAAGCTTGATTTATATTAATATTTAACTTTGAAAATTGTGATTCAATGGTCAAATTATCATTGCAATAAATTAATGTAGTTTTTTTTCTCAATTTTCATTGGTTAAAAATTCATTCCTTCCTATGCTGTTACTTATATTTATTTTATTCCCATCATTTAGAAGGCTTCAAACAGCCAAGATAGAAATGCGTTATTTTGTGTTAAATGTGAAATCACCACTAGACTAACCTCAATTTTCATAAAATTTACTTGAATTCAATGATGATTTATAAATGCCAATTAATATAGTCAAGTGGAGTAAGATGGGACCGCAACCTTCATGGGGTAAGATAGGAACAACCCATGGGTGCATTCTAATTGCATTGATTTTAATTTGATGGTAGATTCTGTTAAAGCAACTATTTCCAGCTGTTTCAGTCTTTGTTTCAAGACTGTTGCAAATAATGAATTTTTGTCAAATTTTTAACTAAGATCTATGTGCATTGTGCAGATAGGTCAGAAAATAGTTATCCTTTATGGGAAAATGAGCTCTGTCTAATGACACACAAAAATTTTTGCCAGGTTTGTGGCTGTAGGCTGGTAACCCCCTAGCAATTTTTAAGCAACTTTTGCAGACATGACAAGCAACTTTTGAGAAATACTAGGCATCCCTACCAGTTACAATCACTGCCTGGCATGCATTCTAAAATGGGGTAAAAAAGGACTGGAAATTGGGTGAGATGGAACCACCAAATGATCCTGTTTTATCCAGCAACCAGTCTTATCTTACCCTAAAAAAATTTCCATCTTACCCCATAGTTAACAAGTTAAAAAAATAGTTATTAAATGAATAGATTATTCTACACAAGTATACATGGAGTATTTTGGACACAATGCTGTCTCTTCTTAGATATTTTTCTGCAAATTTAATGAGGCATCAAAAATACAAACCCAATTTTGCTTACTGTTGAGCTTCACAGAAGTCATGCAACACTCAAACTGTCAAATTAGCAGCCAAAAATAAAAAAAAATATCCTGAAACTGCTACTTCCTGTGCAGATAGTTTTCAACTCATGGGTGTGGCAAGCTTTGCTTCTTAGAAGCCTAACTATGAAAATTTTTATTAGAATTCTTGCATGGCCCCTTCACAAGGGATGGTTGAACATATTAAGCTGTGTGTCAGACAGGCCTATTTAAAAAATATTAATTCAGCTATTGTATGATAGGGATTCATCTTCTTAATATCAAAGTATAAAGCTTCAAGACTGGATAAGCTCAAATTTGAAATTTATTATGCTTGGATAATGACTGGTTCAAAATATGAAAATTAGCTAGTTGAAATTGAGTACAATGTTCCTTCAGTAGGAGGAGACATGTGGTCCTGATGTTGTGCAGTGAAAGAGAAAGAGCAATAGAGAAAGTCACAAATGGATTGAAGAATGCATTGCAGCAACAGAATAACAGGCGGAAGCAAATAGACTGAGACAGATTGATAATGAGGACTCTGATAACTTATATGAATCAACCATTAAAATTAACACAATCAATAAATTGGACAACTGAAGACCTCCAACCTAAAGAGACGTAAAGAAATGTTGGAAACAACCATAGAAAACGTAACCAATGAAATAATAACTATCAGATCATATGACTGAGAATGACTGAAGTAAATACAATGCCCTAATATTAAGTTCTATAATTACTTGGTCTTGGAATTTAGCTGCAAAATATATCAATAGAGGGACAGACATATATGAAAATATTTTCAACTATAAACCTGTTACTACGGCACATGCCTCAAAATTGTCCAGTTTATTCCTTTGAACTAGCAGCAAAAGTTCAGACTGTGACACGAACTTTGTATGATACAGGACTGTCCTTTGATTTCAAATCATTGTATGTTTAATAGGTTAAATGAAAGGTTATAAATAGAGTCCAAGTCTACCTGCTCCATGTCATTATTTTTGTCTTTCAAGCAACAAGTGTCCATTATGATACCAACATAATTATAGGAAGTAAAATCCATTTGCCTTCAGTTCCACATTTTGCTGATACTTAACTGTCATTCATATTTTTAATGAAAATTTATTCTATTGAAATGCCCACACAAAATTTTGTGGTGATGCTACAAAATGACAGAAGAATATACATATGTTCCTCATCTATAGTCGTCAATTGATTGATATGAGGCATAAGGTTTATTTTTAAAGTATGCACTTTCTGCCTAGGAGTAGACAAGTAGTTACCTAAAAACTCCATATTTCAATATAATAGAATTATTTCAAGTTTCTTCATACAAATTAAAAATATTGTGAGTATAATTTTAACACATCTGGCTTATCAATGTTGATCCTGCAACAATGTACTTACAATTCCTCCAAAACTTGTGGTCGTTCTCTGACATTCAAATTTATTTCGTGTCAAATCTCTTTACATGTGGCTGAAAAGGTTAAAAACTTTTAATATCCTAATTTGAGCCTTAATATTTCTAACCATGCTTTATTTATTTGCAAAACAGCCATGAGTGACCATCGACGGAGCTATTTGGAACTCACAGCTCGTCAGAAACGTCGACGACGCTCTGAGACAATCGCTTCAACATCTGCTTTTAAGAAACAAAAAACACAGCGAAGGGACTCGGTACACTCAAGTACTGCACTTGAAAATAATGCAGAAGATCAACTTCCACTGGATGAGGCTGGATTTTTCATCCCAATTGGAGGAGCACAAGATTCAAATTTGATTCCCCACATGGCACCACCCGATGAAGAAAAAATAGAGTTTCAACAGAATGGTCCACCAAAGATAAAACTGTATCAAATTTATCAATTACACGACTTCTGAAGAAATTTATGGAATTCTATCCCTCAATCCCTAAGTGCTGTGCTACTTTGAGGAGAAAATCGTTTGGCCAAATACAATAGGGCAATGCCACTCAACAATACCCAAATAAAAATTAAGAGTGGAGCACCTATGTTTTTATGATGGCTATAGGCGGACGCCATAGGTGGAGCAGCTTTGATTTATACAGTGAATTAAGGGTGGCGTGCACCACCTCTACCACACCTATAACCTGCCTATGGCCCCCCTAAACGTAAAGCTCTCCTTCGGCCAATAACGACCCATTGACACCAGTGGCACATTGATGAGCCAGGCTTGGCAACTTTTAAAATGAAGTCGATAAAAACTTTAAATTTAGTTTATGATCCGATGCGTATGTATTTACTGACATAGTTCCACGCAATCACCATCCTAAGGGCTGCGTATGTAATCTACCATTATAGTACAAGAAACAATGTCAGACATGTAGCAGGAACAAATTTTCAGAGTACCATACACATACCTCGTGAGAAATAGAGTTGAAGAAACTCCCTGCCTGCAGGATTCGAACTCCGGTCTCCCCCACGCGAAGCAAAGCCTTTACCGTTGAGCTATATGAGAGGACTAGGCACGAAAGTAATTTTAAAATATTTGACTGAAGTATTGCAAGTATTAATTTCATCAAATGGCAGAAGTTAGTGCTACCATCGTGATGATTAGATCGTTTCATCAACAATTTTATTTGAACATGCTGCTAGATTCGAGTAAACAGCCACTGAAACAAAATTCGTTTATTCATAGCGAACGATGGTTCAGCTCAGAGTAAAGGCTACGGAAAAATGCTTAATAAGCATTGAAGTTTCATAATGTGAATATTGCACCAATAATGACAGCGGTTTGATTCGAAATATTTTCGCCAAGAATATTCTTGCGTGAAATAAGGAATTGATATCACTCGATGATTTTAAATGTCAGGAGTGAATTACCTGCACCACTTCGAGTCACTATTTTCTCTAGCCTGATCTTTAATCTTATGCATCCAAAAGATACCGGAACCACTCAAGTAGAAATTTAGACTTAAAATCGAAATAATTATCTGCCTGTATGAGCAAATTTCCCTAAATAATTAAATTCCACTATCGAAGTAAGCGATAGAAAGCAGAATTTGTATTCGTATCCCTCTGCGTATAAATGATACCTTTTTGACAAGCAAATTACCCGGAAAGCACACATTTCAAGCAAGACATGGTAAAGATTAGTAGGAAGCTTAACGCCGACTCCCGTAAACCCAATTCGTGTGAACGTGTGCTTACTCGACTTGCTCGCTGCACTTGAGAGCCGCTGCGCTTTAGAGATGCCTTGCCTCTACAGACTACGTCGACGTGGCTTTAGAGTTTAAATTAATGGCGCAATTTAAGAATATTGTCAATATTATATGACACACTTAATCGATCCTAGAATTTATACTTTATGATACAATAATTAGTCTGAATTAATCGCTATATTTCCAACACAGCCAGTTGGCGCATACGTAAAATTCGAAATAAATTAACTCAATATCTCATGTGAACATAAAAATTGGATTCGCCGTCATCTTTTGAGAAACTGTATTTTTTGCGACAAAAATTTTTCATTGTTCCTCGTTCAATTTATATCAGGAGCAGTCTGATACATGCCCAGTGGCTTCACTTTGGTTTGTGAAAATTTGTGAACACCTTACTTCTAACTGTCAGTTTTACTCGAGCCTACCGAATTCACGCTAAATTTTCTTTCCAGAACTTAATCTTAGAAGCCAAGCACACAGAACGAAGTCATGGTTTCGTCTTGATCTCGAATGACCCACAACCCAATAACACCTTCTTTCTACGTTGGATAAATTACAGTGGCCAATCCCATCGTGCACTGTGCAGCTTGGGCAAACGGTTATCGGTGGTTCACAAGAGATTTGTCTGCAATGTGCCATAGATGTTTCAGACCCTATATAAATCATCCATGATTCATCGATGACTCCCACCTATACTCGCCACCTTTTCGATTGATATGTGTTTTATTGTCGATTTTCGGCAGATCTGGCCACCCACCGTTACGCCACCAATAATCTACTATCGCCACCTATAATCATCGGTGCGCCACTCTAAATTTTTATTTGGGTACGTCGAGCGGCAAGCAAGAAAAAGTTCCTTGCCACACACTGCCTCTTGGAATACGTTTCTTGTGACCAAGATTGCTGAAGAGTGGGGTAAAGAAAAAATTTAATTTTCTCATCTATTTAATTATTTCATCACATGTTTTGATATCAACTTTTGACATGATGTATAAATTTTGTGTCTGCTTAAGTTTTCCTTGAGATTGTGGTTGTCAATTGCTTTGTCAGACCATATTTGCCTGATGTTTTCATTTTGAGCTCTGTTGAAGTGTAATTGCGATAAAGATAATGTGTATTTTTGCAGCACTTTCTTTTAAATGTGTAATTGTGCATTGATTGGTGTTTATTTGTAGACGACTTCTCACGATGTGAAAGAAAATTGACGATCGGTGACGTCTCAAACACTGACATCAGTGCGTCGGAGACGGAAAAGAAGAGATCCGGAAGACCAACCCTTACATCGGGTATGTGTGGAAATCTAGTCAAACCGATCATTTTTATTTAATTGAGAACTGGAAAGTTATGTTATGAATCAGCTCAGTCTAATATGTTGCCCAATGCAGTTATTATTCGAAAGTGAAGACAATAGTTGATTGATGGGTGTAATAAGCGGAAGTTATAGGTGGATTCCTTGTAGATAGTATGTATTAGACCTGTGCAGAAATAAGTGTTGGTTACAATAATGGATTTGGAGATGGGGTTTGGGAATAATTGTTCTCGGCTGTGACTTGCACGATGGGTTTCTTGATACATGATTGGCTCTAGTACGTGGTTGCACAGAGTGTGTCTTATGAGTCCGTTTAAGCGACTGTATGCGTCGGCCAAATGGAGTGATTAGGATTGTTTGATTAACCACATAGTCTTCCGATCATGTGCCTAATTTTTCTTCAGGAATTGAAGAAAATCTTTTGGCCGCTTCACCGCAAGCTTTTCCCGTTAGGCGGTCTGCTCAATTTCTGGGTGCTGGCACATCAGCCTCTTCGTCGTCGGAGTCGGGTAATGGAAGGCAAGTTATTCATTTGATTGATTTAAACCTCTTTCTTTTCCGTGATATAAAATCATCAGTGAGTTATAAATGAATATGAATTTTTTATTAGCACAACGGATTTTTTGGAATGTCAGGTTAAGTGATACAATGTAAAGTAATACCTTTATTGAAGTTGCTGTCAATTTCTTAAACCGTTTGTTGATTGAACAGCTTTTAGTTTATCTTTAACAAAAAAATTTGAAATCCCCGATTGCTGCTGGAAAGATTTTAGCTGGATGGACACTGTCATGATGTCACTGAAGGATGTTTGGTGAGAAGGGGGCGGTGCTCTGCGGAAGTTGAGGATATATTGAAGGTGAACTTGAGCCGATGATATCGCTTGAGCGTTATGTCAAATCTCGTAGGCATTCGTTTTGGATATAAACAAATGTTGAGCCATTTTCACTTATGACTTGGTCCCTTTACAGCGAAGCGACATCCTGCGGCAGTTAAACCCAATACCATCCGGACTGGGCTGACAGCAAACAACACAAAACTCCCTTCTCAAAAGTATGTTCATTTGTAATGTAAGTTTAGCTATAGGATCAATGACGTAGATATAAATGCAGTATTTTCTAAGTAATAATATCACTCGTTTGCTTGAATCGCAAATTCACTAAAAACTTAATAGCAAAGAAAACTCCACAAAAATTCATAGTATCTTTAAAGAAAACGTTTCGGAGTCCAGCTCCATCGTCAGTTCGAAAATTCTAGAACTGACATTCAAGTTTATTTCGTGTCAAATCTCTTTACATGTGGCTGAAATGGTTGAAAACTTTAAATATCCTAATTTGAGCCTTAATATTTCTAACCATGCTTTATTTATTTGCAAAACAGCCATGAGTGACCATCGACGACGACCAACGAAGGGAAGCTTTAAGAAGCATGCTGCATACGAGAGAATAATGGGTAAAGTATATTGCAATATTAGTGAATGAAAACAAGAACAAGAAACAAGAATAGAATCAAACAAGAACCGACAACATTTTGAATGTTAATGTAAAATAAATCGTGTGATGATTTACATTAACGTAAGGGAATACGTGAGCCTATTTGTTTTCTCTCTAACTTGTTTAAGCCATTCAGCAGTTCAAGTTTTCATCATACAGAACCAATGCGGAAGAACCCCACCACCATTCCGACACCTGCCCTGAGAGTCTCTAGTTACATTGCATCTCAAATCCTGTCCATATTGGTCACCTACTTGATTGACCGTTGACAAAATTGTGCTCGTTACTTTAATTCGATGCGCGTAATCATTGCTGTTCTGTCGTATTACTTGCCATGCAATCGAATTTAAAAGCTACAAACCGTAATATATTATAATAATTGAAATTGATATAGGATACTAAAATGTGATCACCTTTTGCAGCCGCTCCAAAGAGCACCAAGTTTAACACTGCCAAGAGACCTGACATCAATAGAGTGATAATGACCTCGCTAAAAAATGTGCCAGACTGGGAGGGCCACCGCCGACATCATAGAATACGCCGACGATTAGCAGCTCAGCGACAAGCTGTCGCCTCGACGGCGAATACAACGCATGTGGATGCAGACCCTGGCTCTTCTCCTGACATAATACCGGCAACTCCGAAATGTTCACCACGCTTACCTAAGTGGCCAACAAGATGCTTCAAGTATCTGACATATATGCGGGTGCATAAAGAGTGTTGAACGTCTAAAAAATTTCGTACGTTGCCTTATCACTAACTACACTCGATGTGCCAGTGTTTCCTCCCGCCTTTCACAATTTTCATTCCTCGTGTCACCTGTATAATTCAGGCCGTTATTTGTGAGTCAACCACAGTCGTATAATTTCCGCAAAGGAGTTGCTTTTTTTCTAGTCTGAACGACTCGGCGGAAAATTATTTTTCCAAATTTTTCTAGGTTTGCTGCGCTCTTAATTTTTACGAGTTGTTGAACTGTCAAGAAAAATTCTTTAAGAAAATTCTTCAAAACAACGGAAAATTAAGTATCACGTTTATTCTGTGGGAAATCTTTTTTGATATTCGATTATAGTGCATCCATAGTGGAAATATTAACAGCGCCTGTTATTTTGTCAGTGTATTTTACTAGGCTTTGTGCTGGGTTCTTGATCTTGATGACTGCTAGGAGTGACGATCTTTCCATTCGTTCAATCATCATGGAAGCATACCTTTGCTTTTATAAGTCGGTGCATTTCTATTTTAAATCCAGGTCAACCTCTTGTTGTTCAACTGTTGGAGAGTGGAGTTGATTAGTTTTGATATTGACCTAAATGGTGTACTGATTTGTTATTATTGATGCTGAATTGTCGTTTACGTACTTTCATGAAGAAGTACGAAAAGAATGCAAGTAAACACTAGTTGAAATAATCAGCTATTTCATTTTATTTATTCTTCCTGATTATAATGATTGATTGTGTTTTTGTAGGTTAGTAAGTTGGGAAAGTAGGCTATTATTTTCATTTACAACTTGTTCTAGATTTAATGTTAGTTATCATCTTATTGTAACACCATAAATACATCAGAAGAACTGAGCCGTGATTGCCTGGTTATTCCGGCTCATTGGCTGCGTAGATAATCCAACATTACAGAAAATATGTCATTTATTGTGAACGTGAAAGGATGTTTGTTATCGTTGAATGTGAGACTATGTTCGGTGCTGGTGAATGTAGAAAAAAGCGCCCCCTCCCTGCCTCCCAATAGGGGGGCAGGGAGGGGGCGTTTTTTTGGTCGCTTGTTAGGGTCGGCCGTGTCTGCCCCGAACGTATCAGGTACCAAATACGCGCGCCCCACGATCGCCCCAAGCTCGACGGGTAATTTCACAAGATTCCATTTCGGCGCTTATTTCGCTACGGCAACCGGAACCTAAAGCGGACATAGAGCTTCTAATTTACCCGGCCATAAGAACTTGGGGCGTCCGTGTGCCAGCGGCTGACAGGTCTTCGATTTTCGATAGGGAAGAATCCCCGAGAAATTATGAGGAGTCACAAAATCAGGACTTGCTCAAATTCAAACTAAGTCACTTTTTTGGATTTCGTTTGCATGTAATGTATTCATTAAGCAGTCGAAAATTAATTAATCGAACAATTTTAACAGGTACTTCTGCTCATACTAATAGTTCTATTGTTAGTGTTCTGATCTGATAGTGAACTAAACCTAACTTCAACTTACTTTACTTCATTATATCCCTATAATAACCAAACGATGATGATGCTAGAAAATAACACAAATAACCAGCAAATGGCGAAAAATTTTTTGCCGCAGTCAATACCTTTCAGAAATGTTAGGCCGCAATGAACAGAAGTGCGTCCTCAAATAATAAACAGTCGACATTAAAAGTAAAATCAAACGAGACAATGTGTTTATGGCAGATCACGCAGTGTTTGGCATTAGTTTCGGGTCACTTGAAGCTAGTTATGCATTTCATTCATTTTTTCAGAATTGTCATAATGAAAGGAGATAGCTTTTTCCATCCAACCCAATTAAATCTTTTTGAATGAAGTTTTATGTATTTATATGTTTTTTGTTGTAATGTGTATTGATGGCATAGCAGGAAGCAAAGAGAACACATAACCCCTGATGATAGCTACATATCTCACACAGTACCACGTCTGCTGCTATGACTTGCCCTGTGGCCAGTGGCCACTTCATCAACTTCATTAAAAATCAACATTGGCTCCTTCCCACATTCCTGCACAAAAAACATAAATGTAGAAAATACTAAGGTGGCCCTCTATAGCACCAACAATTGTTCGTCATGGATTCTTACCGGCAGGGCAAGTGAGGTCGATGATTGCAGTGGCTCCCTCATCAGTTTATGTAGGTAGCAAGGGCACAGCCACCTCGTCCACGTCATATTCTGTTGAAAAAAGTCAAGCAATGAACTTACAATGGCGAAAGATGAATTAGTATTTAGCATTATTGTAGTGAAGGCTGCAAAACAACCAAGATTTTTTATTTGCCCAATCATCCCGCTAGCTCCTTTGGTAACTTATGGTTTAGTTTAAAATGAGTTTTCAGCCCTATCGTTCAAGCCAATCACCAAATAGTATCAGATAAACTACAATTATTTTTCAAAATATACATTTGAATGGCCGATGAATTGTCTTAATTATGAGCTGTCAGGGTACTGAAGAAGTGCTGGGCAAGATAAACGAAGATGCGAATATTATAATGAAAAATGGGTTAAAAAGTGAAAAAAATTACGTAGGATGAAGGGAATTAGCATTATTATTATGAGAACAACATATCCAGGTAAATACACTATAGCTTGAAGAAATCAGTTAATTCATGATACAAGTTACGAAAGTTTCCTTTGTCCTGTAAAATTATAGATAATTATATATTACAGAAAATGTTTAGGGCGATAAAACATTCGCTTCCCCAGATAACATTATAGTCTCTGTCGGCAAGCGAGGAGGCTGTTAGTGAATGAGTATATAAATTTTTGGACTTGTGAAGAAAGCCTTTTCATTTCGAATACACGGCCCATGTTAGTAAACGGACCGCTAAGTGGGCAGAAACCGGCCGTAACCCTGATTTTAGGCCAGTTAGGGTACTTTCATTGCACTTCTAGCAATTATTTGTAAAATGCGATTACACGAAAAATGGGCTTACCATATTCTTCCATACGGGTCCCATCAATGGCATGCAGCAAACTGTATGATAGAGTAAAGCGTACTTCATCAACAACACGGTCAACACGTCCAGTAAGTTATTCGGTTGAATTCTCGAACAACTGCATATTAAGAAGGATGTTATTAGAACATGAGGGACTCCTGACAATAGAAACAGCTTGCATAATAACTCTGTTCCATGTAATAAATAAAAACTAAAAAGAGCAAGAGCAATCGGAATTGCATCCAGTCCAAGGCACAAATGAAAGAGTAATGCTGCCTTAAATATATAACGAAAACAATCATTATATTTTCATTGTTGAATTAAAGTTATGTGTCATCTTACAGATTAGCGAAAAAATTTTAATAATTAATGAA